ACGGTGGGCGCTGCGGAAAAGAAAATGTTAGAAGCGTTCGAAATGTAGTGTTGCAGGCGAATTATGAGAATATCGTGGATAAAGAACGGTAGAAATGAAGAGCTATTAGAAAGAATAGGAAAACAGAGGACCTATGGAAGTCAATAAGAAATAGGCGAGATAGATTAGCAGGACACCTTCTCGGGCACGGAGGTCTAGTCAGACACATATTAGAGGCAGAAAAGGGAGTTAGGAGGGGTAGATGTAGGCCTACATTAGATAACTGTTCGCAAATAGTTAAGGATGAGGGTTGTTCTAGTTTTAGGGAAATGCGAAGATTACCTCAGGATAGGTGTCCAACCAGTCTTAGGACTGACGACCTTATGATGATGAACCGTAGAAAACAATGCTTCTATGAAAACAGCATCCGGAGACGCATACCAAGCGACTGTAACCATCGAACAATCTACAGCCCCAAAAATACATTATAAAGATTGGATTAACACTGGGAAAAAGTTACGTCTTAGTTTCAATTTTCAATACTTTCAAAAATTCATATTTCCCGTTGAAATACATAAATAATCGAAGAAATTTTTGATTTTTACTATTTTTACAATTATAAAATTCTTCAGCGACGCATGTTTACGGAAGCCTGCTGCAGTGGTTGCAGGACGCATTTCCTCCAAAACACTTGCAGTTGGTTGGGTGGATGGTATAACTGCAGTTTCTTAAAAATGAGTGTCGAAATTTGTATTAACTACAACAGCTGTGTCAGCTAGATAGTTTGAGATGCGTCAAAAGTAACTCGATTTACGTTGATGCAAGACTAATAATTCCAACAATAAGTAACTTCTTTGTTTACTAATACAGCACGTTAAAATTAACTAATTAAATTAATTTAGGGAATTCTATTATTATTACTATATTACACTTGTGTATATAACAGTGCCGATTGTCATCATTTTCTAATGTAGGGTGGAATTTTCTTAATAATAAATGTTGTATATTTTTAATATTTCCTGTTATTCACGCTACAACATTTAATTTACTGAGAGCGTCTTGTGCATTCCTATTGCGTTTTTGTTACATTCAGTTGTTACTAAAACTATAACGAATAAAACAATCGCAGTCTAATCTAAATTTACGGAATCAGGCTGGATCGGTCTGGACAACGGCTGCACTTGAGACATAAAAATAAACCGTACTATTCTGACCTAGGACAAGCGCTAAAAATGCGCCAACTGCGAGACGACACAAACAGATTGACTTAAGTGTGGTTAGTTAGCTAAAAGAAAAAGTAAATCCACAACCAAATTTATTTATTGCAACGAAATGAAAACTAAAAAACAGATGTAAATACTAAATCTTTTTTTTTTTTAATATTTATGTTCGAAAGTTATGTATTCTCTTACGTTTATATACATATTCCTCATTGAATTTTTTGTAGTAACTCGTTGTTTTTTAAATAGTTTAAAGTAAGAGTTTAGTAATTAAAAAGCAATTTGAAGCTGGTTGGCCAATTTATTTTGGGGCTGCTTGACGAACTATTCAAGCTACCCCATAGTAGTCTTAGAAAGCGATGGTTACACCAAAAATAGACAAATGTTTAGTGACCAAGAAAAAATCGCATTAGAAAATTACCTCAAGAAAGCAGCTGAATTGCTGCTGAAGATTGGTTAGAAATAATTTCCTGAAACGTCATCAAACGTCACAGATCAAAAGAACCCATAGGGGCATGAATACTAGTACATACGTTGATACCTTTAGTTTATAGAATGCGCCTAAATTTTATATTTTCAAATGAGTCCCATATCCCTGAAAAGATTACATTTTTCGTAATACTTAATTTCATAACACTGATTATTAAGCTGTACATTTGTATGTTCAATTTATTATAATATTTTTTAATGTTTCTATTTATTTGTTTTTCAATACTTTTCTTGTTTGCATGTTCTTGATATGTCTAGGTGTTTCATCCAATTGTAAGTGTGTTTAGGTAGCTGAATCATTCTGAATATTATATATAAAAGTGCTGTCAGCACAGGGCAAAGTAATATTACGTAGTTACTATCAGCAATTTCTTATGCTGAAGTGTACGATGTGTTGCATACCTATTTACAAACAATTCCTTTAAATTTTAATCATTGATTACTATACATCTATTAAAAAACAATAATGGTCGACATCAGTAACAATGCAACAACAATTGAGAAAGAATGATGGCCGACAACTGCAGCAATTAAAAAAGAATGATGGCCGACACTACGTCATAGTGGAGCAATTTCAAACAATTTTTAACACAAAGAAAGTGATTAAGCAAATTGTTGACAAACGTGAATTTCGATCACTCTAAGCGATGGTGCTAACAGTTTCGAGCTCACAGTGATTGATAGGGGAGAAGAACTAATCGAGTATTATTAAAATTCCATAATAATTCTTCCGTTAGTTCTTCATACTGATATGAAATTGTGTTAAGTACAAATATTTGTCAGATTGTAAGATTAAGTGGTCTGTTTCCGTCCTAACTTATCTGACTTCCTAGATATCTCAAATCGGCCACATCTTCTACTTTTTCGTATCCTATATTTATATTCGCTCTTTTCCTACTTTTCCTTCCCTTGCATACCAGTATTTTTGTTTTACTTTTATTTATTTTCATACAATACTGTTTTGTCAATGCCACTTGCATTTTATTTAAAGCTATCTCTAACTCCTCCTTACTGGATGCTAATACTGCTATATCATCTGTAAATCTAAGCATACTAATCTTTTGCCCCTGTATATCTATACCTACAGTTGTACTGTCTTTAATTATTTAATTTAAATTAAATAGTAGCGGTGACAGTGTGCATCCCTGTCTGACTCCCTTCCTAATATTTACTTCTTTACGTTGCAGCCGCAGCTCTATAACTAAGTATCACTCTTCTATCTTTGTAACTCATCCCTACATTTTTAAGTATATTTAACATCTTCGATAAATAAAAAAAAATAGTGGTGCCTTATGGTTAGTGTTTTAGAAATAATTGATAAGATATTACCCAAGATTATCATTTAGGTTTATTTTCTCCTGCATTCGCGTTTTCTAGCGTACAAAAAATTTGGACAAATTTTTTACTGTTCATATACTTACGTATAAATAACATTTTTTAACGCTATTATATTTCAATTCAAGCCTTTTACGTAACTAATATAAGAGCTAATTAAATTATGTAAACTTTATTTTTTCAAAAACAATTAATTTTCGATCATTTTTTTAAGTATTTTTATTTGAATTGATTATTCGAACGATACTTTATTACCTTAACATGATCAACAAAAAATTAGTTTACATAAACATGATGCCGTTGTCTCGTAACTTGTAACTGTATCATTTTGTAATACAAAACTTATTTGTGACATGTTTTCTTGCCAGTAACAAGAACGGAACTGATTTATTATCGAGTTAAAATCATTTTATTGGTAACGACGCAAAAATGTTAAAAGGGACGCGTGCTTGTAATTAGTTTTTTCGACATAGTTTGAGTGTACTCAATATCTTTCGGGACTTAAAATATGATGGATACTTCTTATAACGTCTTAGGAAAAGTACAGAGACATAGGTACATCAAAATTTCTAAAAATATTTAATACTACTTCAAAAAACAGCAAAATAAATAATCGTTTTCAAAATTGATTAATGCTAGCTAATAGTTTAAAAAAGTAAAAATAACTTGCCTAAAACGAAATTTATTACCTTTATCTATACGAAATGTATTTCTTACTAAGGGAAAAAGAAAAGATGCGAAAATATTTTTAATTACAATACAACTAAATTGATGAAACGCAGGAACCATCAAATTTCGAGCATATCATTTTTTGCAAACCAGATGGATGTTCATCTTGATTTTCCTGAAATTCTATGGGAAAAAAAGAGATACCTGAATGCGAACGTACACGTAGCAACAAATGAACCAATAACTGATACTATGCAATACAAAATTTATTTCTTTTCTGCAATTTTAGACACCGCTGTTATAGGTACCCGATTACAGAGAGAGATTGAGACATTAAGGATTGAAATGAAGTGTTATTAAAACTTTAAAATATTACAAAGGTATGGAAATTAAACTTATGTACCTAGCGACAATCAACCGAAATCTTTACAATTATTTATAAACCCCTAGAATGAATCCTCATGTTATTCTGAATTATGTATGCATAAGATTGAAATATAATAANTTTTAGTAATTTTCAAAATTACGATTGTAGAATGCTTTCAGTTGTATGCTGTATTATAAGAACGAAAAAATATACATTTTTATAAAATATACATTCGATAAAAAATTACAAATCAATCCAATCTCTATTTTTATTTTTAGTTTGAACTAATTTGTACACTTATTTATAAACCCCTAGAATGAATCCTCATGTTATTCTGAATTATGTATGCATAAGATTAAAATAAAATAAAAGATCTTAATTGCAAAGTGGTTACGCCACTGATTAGTGGACACCTTTTATACGTTTATAAATAAATAATTACCCTAACATAAGTATCTCTGGTTTAAAATTTCTGATCGTAATTTAAATACCACGTCCTTAAAATAAAATTACAAAAATTACAAAATTTTAAAATTGTTTGTTTTTACAATTACTGAATTTTGTTTTCTTCAACGTTTTTTAAAAAACACAAATTTTTTGATTGTGAGTTATATCGTGACCTCTTCAGTGTAAAAGAATAATTTGGATCCCGAACTTGAAAGTAATCTGTAACATTTAATGGGCGACATCTTATAGTCGATAGTTTAAGTTTAAAAAAAAGCGCCATTTTCTTGGGATTTTAACGGTCAAAAAACCTACGCAATAAGATATAGTACCTACATTGCAATATCTTTTTATTGATTTTTAGGTTTGCTTATAATTATTAATCTTGAGCAATTGGTCATTCAGTGTTAATTGTTTGTGATAGGATTGGAAAGAACGATTAATATACACATCGTTGTCAATTAATTTTATAGAAATTAACGTTGTCTGTCAAATTAGCATTTGTCACTGCGTAGGGACACGTCCTTCCATTCAATACCATTAATAATCATAATTTTGCATGTGTTGCTCGCCGGTTTTTCAATATTAGTTAGTTAAAAAGTTGTATTATCGTTATATTTAATAGTTAATATTGGTAAAATATGCAATCAGAAACGTTACAGTTAATTCAAATTCTCGAGAAGACAGTTTCTCCAGGTAAGTTATAACGAAATTAATTTGAATGTCAGAGGGTTGCCATTGTACTTGTTTTTCATTACTAATTTACTATCGGATTCTTGCGAAACCATAAAGATTATGCGGTTACAGATATTTTAATATTTTTTAATGGTACACGACTGGTTTTCTATATTTTACAAGGTTTGAGTTGACTCTGAACCCTATTTTTTTATAGATTACTGTATGCATGGATGATTTTGTATATAATAGCTACATGTTTTGATTTTAGACAAAGCCGAACTCGAACAGGCGTCAAGTTTTCTTGAACAAGCTTCACAAGCAAATCTTCCTGAATTCTTAAAAACACTCTCCGATATCTTGAGACATGGAGGCAATAGCCCTGTTGCTCGTATGGCAGCTGGCCTGCAACTCAAAAACCAACTCACATCAAAAGATCAGAATATCAAAATCACATACCAACAACGTTGGCTGGCACTTCCAGAAGAAATCAGGGATTACATAAAAAAGAATGTAAGTACAACATACAATTATTGTAGATTTCTCACTTAGTCAGTGATCTTAAATACTTTGGGATTTACTTATTACAGTTGTTGAATTGTGCTCTTCAATATTTATTTTCATGTCTTTGCTGATTTATTCTGTGTTTAACCTTAGTAGTGCTTGTACTATTATATTTTTTTGTTTCCATGTACATTGACAGATTGTCGGTGCATTAGGAACAGAAACAAATCGACCTTCATCAGCAGCTCAGTGTGTAGCTTATGTAGCAGTAGCAGAATTACCAACTGGTCAGTGGCCTGGTTTGATAAACCTTCTGGTTAATAATGTGGTTCAAGCCAACTCTACTGAGATGCAAAAAGAAGCCACTTTAGAAGCAATTGGTTATATTTGTCAAGAAATTGATTCAGAAGTCTTAGTGTCACAGTCAAATGCTATTTTAACTGCTATAATACATGGTATGCGCAGCACTGAACCAAGTAATCACGTCCGTTTGGCTGCCACAGAAGCTTTATTGAATTCACTCGAATTTACACGAGCCAATTTCGACCGGGACACAGAACGACACTTTATAATGGAAGTGGTGTGCGAAGCCACACAATCAGATGATACTCAAATAAAAGTGGCCGCCCTCCAGTGCCTTGTCAAAATCTTGTCTCTTTATTATCAGTATATGGAGACTTACATGGCCCAGGCCCTTTTTCCTATCACATTAGAAGCAATGAAATCAGAAAATGACGCGGTAGCCCTTCAAGGGATAGAGTTTTGGTCAAATGTTAGTGATGAAGAGGTTGATCTGGCCATAGAAGACTCGGAAGCGTCAGAGGCCGGTCGACCACCTACAAGAGTATCGCGACATTACGCCAAAGGAGCCCTACAATTTATCGTTCCCATTCTACTCCAAAAATTAACAAAACAAGAAGAATTAGATGACGAAGACGATTGGAACCCTTGCAAAGCCGCTGGCGTTTGTCTCATGCTGTTAGCTTCATGTTGTGAAGAGGAAATAGTGCCACATGTATTGCCCTTCATCAAAGAGAACATCAAGTCGAGTAATTGGCGGTTCCGGGACGCGTCTCTGATGGCATTCGGTGCTATTCTTGGTGGGTTGGACAATTCCACGCTCAAGCCGCTCGTTGAACAAGCTATGCCTACATTAATAGAGCTCATGTACGACACGAGTGTAATCGTGCGTGACACGGCCGCGTGGACGTTCGGGCGTATTTGCGAGATCATACCGGATGCGGCAATTAACGAAACTTTCCTCAAACCACTCTTGGAAAGTCTCATTAATGGACTGAAGGCAGAGCCCAGGGTCGCAGCCAATGTGTGCTGGGCATTTACAGGTAATTTTTTATAATACCAAATTATGATGTAACATTGGGGATATAGTTTAGAAAAATTTGCACATTCTTTGGACCATCAAATAATTAATTTAAAGGTTACAAGAAAAAATGCACCTAAGCATTCCATTTAATCTGTATGTGCTAATGACTTATAAATATATAAAATAATCAATTCTTACCAACAGAAACTATAAACACCATTAATCATGTACTTAGAAATAGTATAAACATTGATGCTCTAAAATCGCTACATCAAAGATACGTATAATCGGTTATGCTAATTGCATCCATAGTATGGGTATATTAATTTTAGTACAGCTAGTAGATTGATGATAGAATAAACCGTTCGTATATTGTCACCTCCTTTGAATGGGTGATTATTGTAGAATCCAAAAACAAAATGCAAAATATTGTTGGATATAACATTTAACTTTGAGTACTTTTGTCTAAACCAACCTGTATGCTACAATTATTATTTCTGTGCAAAAGGCTACTAACCTGTATGCTTTAAAAATAAATTAATTTTTCCCTAAACTGAAATTGAATACCTTTTTTTCATTTCTAGGTCTTGCAGAAGCAGCTTATGAAGCTGCAGACGTTAATGAGCAAACGAATCAACCGGACACGTACATTTTATCTCAGTATTTCGAATTCATAGTTCAACGACTGTTAGAGACTACTGAGAGACCAGACGGTGCCCAAGCCAATCTTAGGCCCGCTGCATACGAAGCTCTGATGGAAATGGTGAAGAACTCGCCACGCGACTGTTATGTAACCGTTCAAAAGACGACGATGGTCATCCTTGAAAGGTTACAACAAGTACTTCAGATGGAATCGCACATAGCAAGTCATAGCGATAGATCGCAATACAACGATTTGCAATCGCTCCTTTGTGGTACTTTACAGTCGGTGCTAAGAAAGGTAACACCTGAGGATGCCCCAAAAATTTCCGACTCCATTATGACCGCCCTCCTTAGCATGTTCAGTTCGAATTCATGCAAAAGTGGCGGAGTACAAGAGGATGCGCTCATGGCAGTTTCTACCTTGGTGGAGGTAAGTTAAATATTTTGTTATGGAGTCCAAAAAACATACAGGGGTCTCCTACAATGACCTTAAGGCTAAAGTTATAGGGTACCGATAAAATAAAAAAAATTAGTTTGTAGAAAGTTGCTAGTTAAAATTTTCTTTGCAACAAAAATTATAAAAATCAAAGCCCAGTAATGGTAAAAAATATTTTATAATACAATATATAATTATTTTCATTTATTCATTTTATTCATTTTTCAATATTTTAATTTTCATAGTTCCTGAAGAAGTATAAATTGAATTCATAATTTTATTTTTATTTGTTAATTATTGACTAGAGGAATTGCTTAGTTATAATAATATACAGCACCGTTGTTCTTCAGTACTGTCCTTTCACAATTGCGGTAATTCGAGTATTTCTATTTTATCGTATAATTTGAACACAGACAGCGAAGTACAATCAATATATCCCTTCAACAACTTAAACATAAGCTAAGCAATCGTAGAACAGTCGTGTGTGAACCAAAGATATTCAACTTACATTTGGACACGTTCAAGTATGATTATTTGTTGCGATTGCTAAGAGGTCAAGTGGTTGAACTACACATGATTTTACTCACAACTCCGAAATTTAATTCTACTTAAAGTTCCTATTTGCTTGTAACGTTTTTATTTTTTAGTTGTAATTTAAAGTATATACTTTTAAATGACTTTAGTAGTTACAAATAACCCTAATGTATACTACTGATAATAACTTGTATTAAAAAACAACTTTTCCGATAGGTTCTCGGCGAGTCGTTTATAAAGTACATGGATGCATTTAAACCTTTTCTTTACATCGGTTTGAAAAATCACCAAGAGTATCAGGTGTGCGGTACAGCTGTGGGCCTCACAGGGGACATTTTTCGCGCCCTTAAAAGCAAGGCTTTGCCCTATTGCGACGAAATAATGACTCTCTTGTTGGAAAATCTGGGTGATAACACGGTCCATCGGAGCGTCAAACCGCAAATCTTGTCCGTATTCGGTGACATCGCATTGAGCATCGGCGCTGAGTTCAAAAAGTACTTGGACATCGTTCTCACGACCCTCGCCCAGGCGTCACAGGCCCAAGTCAATCGGGACGACTTCGACATGATCGATTACTTAAACGAGCTGCGAGAAGGCGTTTTAGACGCTTACACTGGCATCATCCAAGGGTTGAAGGGCGACGATCCGACGCCGAATCCGGATGTGCTCTTGCTCGAAACCCACATACCCTTCATCGCACATTTTATTACAGTCGTGGCTCAAGATGAGGAACATTCTGACGGAACTGTAGCTGTTGCGGCCGGACTGGTTGGTGATCTTTGCGCTGCATTTGGCGTTCCCATGCTCCGTTTCCTTGACCTAGAACCCATTAATAATATGCTCGCTGAAGGAAGAAGGAGCCGGGTCAGTCGCACCAAAACACTGTCCACATGGGCGACGAAAGAAATGCGCAAACTTAAGGCCAATTCGACTGCAGCCGTTGCAAGCTGGTGAGTAAAGTTTATAAATGAATTCATTAATTCGGCGCTTGATTGACGTTTGTAAAAAGTTTAAAAAAAAAGAAATATTTCAAAACTTTAATTTGTCTTTATGCAATTTTAATTGAACTGAATCAATCACAATTTTAAAAACATTTTTTTGCAATGTTTAACATCACAATACATGAACATATAAAACATAGAAATGTTTTTGACTGAAATCTGCATTTCAAGATTGGCAAAAAATTTAATTGAAATTCGTGCTCATATAAATTTATTAATTTTGCTGTTAGTGAATAAATGAGTTATTAAGTGGTTATTTTTAAAGCAATTTTTTTGCATAATTCTTTAACACTAATTTTTAGTTTGATTTTTGATGATTATCAAAATTTCCGAATGATTCTTCTATTTTCCTTAGGTTTAATGTTCATTTATGTGATCTTTCGAAAACTTAAATAGGTAATTTCTCGTGTAAGATGTGAATGTATAAACTCATTGCTGAACTGAATTAACTGAACATTTATGTAAAAAAGCACTAATTCGATTGCACGATAAAGTTAATTAACTGTAAACGCATACTTAAAAAAGACAGCTTGCATGGACTGTTTTGAATTTTGGAATGATTTTTTTTATTCCTATTTACAACAGATTTGCTCTGGTCAACAGTGATTTGAGCCAATGGAGCCAAGTCAGCTCGTGGTCCACGGCAACAGTTTGGGATAAACAGTACGCGTAACTTATATTACTACACAAAAACAAACACTTTACATACATTCATATAAATAATATAATCGTTTGACTGTCGTTTAAAAACAAAAAAAAACATTTAAAAAAATCATACAATAATAATGATAATGATAAAAACGATCAATAGCCCGAGGTTATTAATAAGTAACCAAGCAAACAAATTAAACTCTGATACAATTAATGAATAATAAGAAACATGTCTCCGGTTTTTTCTTTCGTTCGTTTGTTGGTTGTTAAACCGGCCACATCATAACGTTGTTGTCCTTTGTATTTCGATTAATAATTTTTAATTGCAAAAAAAACGAATGATTTTGAATTGATTAATTGAACGGTAATAATCGAATTACCTTTAAAATTAACTACAACAACAACGTAATATATAATAACTGACATTAAATCTATTTTTAATTCGACATGGTACCGTCCCTCCGAATGGATGTAAATTCCGGTCTCTATTAGTTTATTTTCACTATTTCGGTTCCGGGGTGCCGAACGTAAGTGTGTTGTGAACGTTCTCAATTTTTCCCTTCTCATTCTTTATCTTTTAAAAAATATGTAACCAATTCAATTTCTACAATGGGACAATATAATAACGTTTATTATTAACACAGTGATCGGATTGTCGGTAAAATGGCGAGTGCGAATAATCGTGGGGCATACAGTATGTTGTAATACATATGTATTTGTTGAAGGCGATTTTTATTATGATTGTGTTGTGTCGTGAGTGCGGAGACGAACGCCTGTTGTGTTGAAGACTAATTATTAATTGTTATATATGCGAATTATCTTCCTTTTCCACATCATCTTTTACACGGTGCAACGGGATACAACAACTAAAACAACTCCCTCGGACTCTCGAAGTTTTTTGGTAGATGAAGTCGACGACAAACGGCACCCAAGATATACAATGGAAAGGGGAATAATAAAATGAAAATGAATATCTGTGTTGCGCTCATTTTCTTTTTTCGGTACTGCGTGTGTTTATCGAGAAAATATAGTAATTAAAAAATAGTGTAAAAAATACGAAAGCATTGTTCGCCGTACATATCGATTTGCTACCGCCATGTAGTGGTAGCTCAATGGTATTTCGAGGGTAAGTTTATGGTGCACATGCTCGACACTTAATCTCGTTTTTAGTAATTTTCAAAATTACGATTGTAGAATGCTTTCAGTTGTATGCTGTATTATAAGAACGAAAAAATATACATTTTTATAAAATATACATTCGATAAAAAATTACAAATCAATCCAATCTCTATTTTTATTTTTAGTTTGAACTTGTTTGGTCACCCTATAGACTTCTTGTTAAATTAAGATACAAAAGCAAGAAGACCAATCTTCGGCAAAACTAATGTCATAAAGATAATTATTTATAGAAAAAATGCGATTAAGTGTCTTTCGAAACAATTCCATTAATTTCACGTTAGTAGTGTTTGTACTCAGGAATTTTTGAGAATAATATACTTTTGCGAATGGTATTTTTTTGAAAGTTTTTGTGAGGCCGTGTGTGCCTTGCATGAAAGGTGCGTGAAAGCCAAATTGTTTAGACTGTGGACAGTTTGGTGGTTGATGACGTTCTGATGAAAGAGGAACGAAGCAATCTGTGATTTGAGAACGCTTCAATTTGTTGCCAAAAATGAAACAAAAAAATAATAAAATAAAATATCGTATATCGATAAAAATGATTCCATTTAAATAAATAAATGATGAAGCCTTCTCAACATTATTTATGAATTCCTTGAATGTGTGATATTTGATACATGTACATGTAGACGACGGAGCCACCAAGGGGGATGAAAAAGTGAAACGAATACAATTCATGCCCCAAAACCGTCCCGTCGTCTGTGTATGATTCTTAGCTTGTATGAAATTTTAGTATGTAAGTAAGCGTGATTGTTATTAAAAACAACAAAAAAGATAATAAAGGCCCCATTTTATATTTTTGGTATGTGCAAATATTTTTTTATATACTTACTATTTTAGCCGAATCTCCAAAATGTCTATTTAATTTTTACGAGTTTTGTTTATATGCACGTCTTATACATACATAATATAAAAGTGGTCGTCAACTTCTATGAAATTTTATTTTTATTTTAAAATTGTAAAAGTAAGACCTGTTTTATATTATTATTAGAATGGATAAATTAATTTCTTATTACATTAGAAGTTAATGTTAACAAAATTAACTATTTCAAAGAAGTTTCATGTTATTTTCATTCAACTCAAAGATTAAAGAGAAAAATACAGTATTTAAATAAAATTATCTGTTCATTTGTATTGATGATTCTTCTCTTCAAATAAAAAGAATGTAAGTAAGTATTTTTTGTCTGTCTTAACATTTTTTATATCCCTTGCCCTTGATATAAAGAAAGGGTCCGTCCTTTCTTAAACCAAATTTATTGGTCAATTAATGTAATTTTTTTAAATGTATAGTGCTATCGTTCGTGCACATAAACAAAACATGTTACAAATACTATCCTAAGAGGCAATAAGTAATCAAATTTAATAAAAATGCCGCTGCTTAAGAAACAATTTTTTTTGTTTGCCTAATTATCTATTATTTTCGTTTTGCAGCAACTAATGTAAGGTACTAAATTTCGAATACTACATTTATGTTACTGCTCTAGCATAAATAGATAACTGAAATAAAAAAGAAATATCGACTTGTTAAATAGTTACTACTACTACTATTATTATATGATAAGATATAGGTCGCGATGGTATTTCTGTTTGAGTGTTATTTTGCTAGTTTGTGAATCAAGAGTGCCATGATAGTTTGTCTGTAAATCAGCCCCCAGTAAACCAATGTTTAACAATTAAACAAAAAATACAAAAGAGTGTGATAAGACTGACTGACCAGTGTTCACTAATCATATTAAAATTAAAAAATAATTGAAGGGTAATTATTATGAATTACTTGTACTTCTTGTAAGGTTATTGTTAAACATTGGTCCGATTTTTTTTGCAGAAATGTTACCATGTCTATTTAGGTGCCTATGACCCATCTTGGAAATTGCTGTATTTTGAAAACCATGTAAAGTCAGCACGCTGTTCTCAAAAAAGTTATTTAGTTTATCGGGACTTTGTTACATTCTTAATAATTTGGTATTTTTTTCTTTAAAATGTAGCTACTAAAAAACATAAATAAAAACTACATACATTATATTTCTAATTTTTCAAAGCTCCCATTTCTGTTACTTTTTATTTAAAATAGATAAATAAATGCCTTTTTCTTTAAAAAGAAAGTACATGCTTTATCTTTTNACCTCTGATTCAAAAACCAAATTATATTACATTTAGTGACAACAATATAATAATTTAATAAATTTTGTCTTACTCAAAAAAGCTAATTTTCATAAAATAACGTTCCATTCATTTTAATAATAAAAACATTACAAAACTTTTTAATTTTACCATATCTATTATTAGTTACTTTAAGAACTTCCTGTATACTTTTACTATTTCAAAGTTTAAGGAATGCATCATTAATGAAGTTGATTTTCTGAGTTTATTATTTTTGCTTATCTGAATTTCCTTCATAAAACTAGTGAGGTTTGTGTATCGACAATAATTAGTTTCATTAGAGCACTTTTTTGGCAAAGTAGCTTTATTAAATTACTAGATTTGACCTAATACGCTTGCCATTTATTGATGTATAGAAATGATAATCCTATAAATGTTTCTACTATGGCTTCAACACATTTCCGTTGGAAAATAATTATTAACTTTTTCGTAAAATGGAATCCTCTGCTAAACAATCAAAGTGTAATGTAAGTATGTTACTATATTGTCATTTTATTTATTACAAAATAATCAAAATTAATTTACAGGATTCTTTGGATTTGGACGACATCCTACCACAAGTGGGAGAGTTCGGAAAATATCAAAAACTGATGTTATGGTTCGTGTGTCTTCCTGCATGTTTTCCTTGCGGTTTTTGCGCATTCAACCAACTCTTCATGACAGATGTTCCGGAACATTGGTGTACAATTCCCTCTTTAGCAAATACAACTATAGAATTAAGAAAAAAATTGGCAATACCGTTCGATAACGAGACCTTCAGTAAGTGTGAAAGATATGCAGTGAATTGGACGAAAATTGTTGAAGAAAACGACTTGAATTATAACGACATTCAAACAAATATTTCATGGCCTAAAGAGAAATGTTTAGACGGTTGGGAGTATAACAAATCGGAAATTTCATCTAGTATTGTTATTGATGTATTCAACACATATTTGATTAAATAAAAATATATGAGTTTTCCGGTTTTAGTTTGATCTTGTCTGTGAAAGGGACATTTATCCAACAATTGGTCTTACAGCACTGAATATAGGGGGTCCCGTTGGAGTTTACTTTTTTGGTTTTTTGAACGACAGAATTGGAAGGAAGAAATCGTTTTTTGTTTGTCTGACAACTGTCATTTTTGGAAGCATATTAACAGCAACGGCTCAAGATTTTCTTTGGTGGGCCATCAGCAGAGTTATTGTAGGTCTTACCGTACCAGCAATATACCAAATACCATTTATAATCTGTGGGTAGTAATTTTACTTTTCATTTATTTATTTTTGTAAACTATTCTGTTTATTTAGCATTGGAACTTGTGGGTCCTAACTATAGATCGTTTGTAACTGTAATGACTTGTATGTTCTACACTGTTGGTTTGATGATTTTGGCTGGTATAACATACTTGATTCGAGATTGGGTCCATTTGACGCTTGCTACGTCAGTTCCGTTTTTTCTTTACTACTTTTATTGGTTTGTTTTACCAGAAAGTCCACGATGGCTTCTGGCACGAGGAAAGTTTGAGGAAGCTGCACAAACCCTTCAGAAACTTGCACAAATCAATGGGAAAGAGGTACCGCCCAGTTTCCAGCTCCAACTTGAGCAGAGAATTTTTGCAAGCAAAACCAACGAAGAGACTATAAAACACGGCGGTTTGAAAGATCTGTGTTTTACGCCTAATATGCGTCTCAAAACGTTCCTGATAACTGTGAGCTGGTTTTCGACTGAGACCGTTTACGTTGGTTTAAGTTATTACAGTCCTGCACTTGGAAATAATCAGTATCTTAGTTTTTTCATGTCATCCCTTGTGGAAATACCCAGCTACTTATTGTGCTGGTTTTTGTTGGATAAATGGGGCAGAAGATGGCCGTTGAGTTTGTCTATGACCATTAGTGGGTTGTGTTGCATTGGAACAATGTTTGTAGCATCAGGTGGGCGTCGATCTTCTGGAAATATATAAAACCTTTAATAGCAGTTTTCTATTTTTTGTTTAGGTGACGAAAAGACAATATTGGTGCTTTATTTAGCATCCAAATGGGCAATATCAGCATCTTTCTTGATAATATACCCTTTTGCTGGTGAACTTTATCCCACGCAATTGAGAGGGATCGGTATTGGCGCCTCTGCATATATCGGTGGCTTGGGGTTGATAATAATTCCGTTTATCAATTATTTGGTAAGTTATTGTTCTTTTATTTAATTTAAATCTGTTTATTAATTAAAAAATATTTTGAGGGCTTAGAAAACAAATCTCTCCCTCTCTTAATTATGGGCATTGTCTCTGTGATTGGTGGAGTTTTGACGTTACGATTACCAGAGACTTTACATCATCGATTGCCTCAAACTGTTGAAGAAGGGGAAGAATTTGGAAAGGACTTCTCTTGGGCCGATTGTTGCCGCTGTATACCGTTAAAGTAGGTTTAATTATTTAAGATTTTTGAAATGAAAGATATTTTATTTTAGACCTCAAGCTGCTGATAGTACTTGCTCATATGAAGACCTAGAGCTGGAAGCAATGAAATTCAATGATGACATTTCGGAAGAAACGCCCCTTGGAATATGCCAAAGAAGACTATCTATGAAGAAATTGGTGCGCCAAGCGAGCGTCCTGGATACGCAGAAGGATACGGATGGGTCCATGAAAATGACTTATTGGTTTTAAAAGGTAATAAATACTCATTAAATTAAACACTAATTTATAGTGGCACTAATAGATTGCACATGTATATTAATCACATAATTAAAATATAAAACTGAGTGCAATCTTTATTACTTAAAAAATAAAAATAGTAATCCCGTGTAATCCCGTTTTGCTGTAAAGGTCTACAAGAATAGCCTGGCACTTTTTTACTTTTTTAATTTTTTATAGCGATCTCAAAAATTAATTTATATAATGTGCATTGAATTTTACGTTATGATTCTAAAAAAAAAAATAAAATAAAAGAACTGTAATAAAAACCTATTGTCGTTTAATACGGTTACGAAAAGCATGTACCTATGTATTTTTAGCATTTTAACTAGTCAGGGCTCGTGGTCAATTAATGAAATTAATGAGGAACATGATTACGGTACATAACGTTTGCTATTCACCAAATTAAAACATAGTTATAACAACCACGTTTAAACAGTAGAGAGTTTAGTGTTATTGTACGTGTTATCTATTAAGTTTATTAGTTAGTCGATAATACTTAACATTTTTACTACTTTCTATTTTTATTACTTCAACTGTTAATACTATGGGTACCCAAAGAAATTTCTTCGGATGAGTTATTGTATACAGAAAGCCCAAAAAAGTCTATTTCTGTCACCATAGGTATTCCAATTTTCAATTTTGTCAGGCTTAATTATATTATTGTTGAAACAAAAGTGGTCCGGCAAAATAATTGGTCAATGGTTTTAAGTTAAAGAAGTTTANAATATTATTTTAATTATGATATGATTACTGCAAGTAATATTATTTCTACAGTGTGTCATTGTAAAATACATAAATAATATGGATATGTTAATTTGCATTTCATCTAATTTTTGAAAATACATTAAAATAAAATATTTATCAGTGTATTATATATTATACCTACATTTTTGGATTAAAACGTAACAATTTCAATATTTAAAAATGAGACGAAAATGTGTATGTAAGGTATTATTTGACCAGATGAGTAAAATTAAATAATAAATAATAAAAAATTATTTTGGGGCGAAATGTCGATATGGTTGCATAACCAATAACGTTGTTGGCTTAATTTTTGTTATAGAATATGAACGATATATCAATGAAATAACCTTTGAAAAGTTATGAAATTTGGAGTCGTGTAAATCTAACACCCGCTATAAATAAACCCCTGATTTAAACTTTTAACAATAAATTGTGCGTCGTTTGCGGATTGTAAATATGTAAGTATCATAATTGTGCGTCTATTAATTTTGTTACAAAAAAGGAAAATTATTTCGGGTGCAGGTGGAAATTGAATGTCAATTTATTCAAAAAATACTGAAGATTTAATTGACACCAAGCGTATCATTTGTGCTTGAAGATTGAACTATTATAACAAGCGGAGTTTATTCTTATTTTATTTATGAGTAATGATTACAAACAACACTAAGCATACACCATAGACATACACTAACTTTTTCAGTATTATATGTAATTATTACTAATAAACTATATAAAGATAAATTTCACTTTTAGATCAGTCTTCAAGCACAAATGACACGCAATCAATCGGCGTCAATTAAATTATTATCTCTTTGGTAGTTTTTGAATAAATTGTCATTTAATTTAAACCTGCACCCGAAAAAATTTTCCTTTTTTTTAACAGAACTAATGGACGTGTAATTATGATATTTACATATTTAGAACCCGCAAACGACGCACAATTTATTGGTAATGTTTAAAAGAGAGCATTATTTACATCGGGTGTCAGATTCACACCACCCTTGACAGTATATATTTGTTTAATCTATGGTCGAAGGTAATATCCAATAAGTTACTCTTTGTATATTTATTATCTATGACGCTCTTATTAAATGCTTTCATTTTGTGGAACGTATTTTTGTGTAACCTGGATTGACAGTTTTAACACAGGCGTTTCTCTATTATTTAAGGGGCTCTAATCAAAACTATTTAAATTAAAAAATTTAGTTAACATTTATGTTTATTAAATTATATCTGCTTTTATTCAACTATTCTATACACTAGCATCCCAATAATTTTCCACTGCTATAAGGATATTTTGAACTGCACTTTACACTTATGAAAAAAGTATTTCGGGCTATTTGCCTATGCAGTTTTCTCAGTGCTTTGGATTGTTGAATATAGTAGTGGATACTACAAAGTTGTTAGTCCAGAATTGCTCTTCCAAATTGTCTACACTGCATTGTTCTCCTGGAGAGTTGGTCACGGACTTATTAACGTATGTAATATATTCATTAAACCAAGTCAAATTCCAAAGGCAGAGGGAAATACAATAATAGAAATGTTTAAAGATCCACCTAGGACAACTAGGAGTAAAAGTAAAAACAAAGAGAACAATGAGACAGGTAACACAGTCGAAACGCCTGTTCTATTAGAAATACTAGATAAAATAAACGATCTCGCAATGCAATTTGGACAAATAAAAAATGATCATAGTGAAATAAGGATATTACTAAGCGAAATTAGAAATATTCGTGAGGATCTAGAAAAGAAAAACAAAGCTTGGGTGGAGGAAAGGAACACTCTGCGGAGAGAAATTGATGAATTGAAACGGAAAGGAGAAGTCAGAGAAAGACGGGACGTACAAAGTAATATAGTAATAAAAGGGTTTGAGCCCGCTCCAGACAATTATAGGAGAGAAGTTTATGACCTAATGGTAGAAAGACTAAATATAGAGCCTCAAATTCAGGACACCAAATATGTTAAAATTAGGGAAACGGGATTCGGTTTCATTATAGTCAAATTAAGCAGTGTTGAAAACAAAAATAGTATTATGGCAAATAAACATAAACTTAGGGGAACAAGGATTTACATCGAACATGAAAGAACAAGCGCTGACAAAGACATCCAGAAACAAATCGGCAGAATTGAAGAAAACAAAAAAGCAGAAGGAAGGATGGTAAAAATCGGCTATAAAAAACTTATAATCGATGGAACTGAATTTACATGGCAAAATGGAAAGGGTTTAATACAGTCAGAAGACAATCAATATTCATATCAGAATAGGGAGAAAGAAACTTCACTTTCACCGCGAATCAGTAGATTTCGCACCCCAACCAAACAATAATCACCAACACACGGTCGAANTTTAACTCCTCTTTAAAAAGAACGGAGTCTAACAGTGAAATTACAATTGCTATACTAACGATGAAAATGCTCTGCAATACAGTGGGTTGCCTAGAAGTAGGAGCAATTGCAGCAGTTTTTAATAGACGAGTACAATGATACAGTACTAATTGTAAGCAACTGAATTTTCAGATTTCAATAAATAAATTGGATATTTTTACGATGTGTACAGTTCATCAGGTTTTTTATAGGATTTGTAACAGTGAAACATTTTTATAGTTAAAAATGCATACAAAAATATTAGATTAGCATTATTTAGAAAAATTGTGCTGTTTATTTTTTGATTAAATGTTTCGTTATGAAGAAAGGTGAGAGTATAAGAATGTACCCATAAGGTAATAATACTTAGGAATATGCTTGATAATCAAAAATAGTAATCGTTTAAAAAGGAAAGCAATCTATCCTTCTTTTCAACTTTGCGTGTAACATTAAGAACAAAGCAATGAATTTTTAGGTACCTAAATTGTGGAATTATGCATTTTTAAAAAACAATATACTTTATTTTAACAGTCCTACAACCATAACACTCTTCGGGTGATATCTGTTTGTCTTCGTCCCAATATCTAATGACTTTTTTATAATCACATCAATTGGTCATCTTGCCTTTTTGACTCGAGATACACTTTCGGAATAGAATCATGAATTTCCTGAATAGGAAAAACTAGTCGAAGTGAATTTAAAAATTAATTAATTTACAATTTTATTAATTTAACAGTGAAATTTTGTACACCCTTACAGGCATTCCTGCTTTTATTAAGGTGTTTTTAACTAATACTTAATAGCAATTCGGAAACACTGTTTGCCTAGGTCACAGATACATGTACGAGGTCTGTTCAAAAAGTATCGCGAATTTTGTGTTTTTTGAAAAATTATTTAGTTATTCATGAATATCAATTTTGTCCCCCCTTTCAAAGTAATCATTTTATAAATTGTAAAATATTTGTTTTACAGTCTTTTGTTATAAACAAATTCAAAATTTTCCTTATTGTAATTGCGAAAAATAGGTACATTGCTTTTTTTGGCTTATGCTCCGAGAGATCTATAAATTTGGCAGAACCCCTACTGCCAAATTAAATCGATGACGATATTTTTAACTAAAATAATTTCAACT